AAAAAAAAAAAAAAAAAAAAAAAAAAAACAAAAATATAATACAATCATAGCCACGAAGTGCTACAGGCTATTTTAATCTATCTCTTTTTGACAAGTATTTCTATTACTAATCTAGTTAATTATGTAATTTTCCAATTATAATATTTTAAAATAATTTAAAACTTTTTTATATTTAATAAGTTTGTTTTGACATAGGTTTATTTATAGACATATTATTATTAATATGTCTATGACAAAACAATTATGATAAATTTTTTATTAAATAAAGTCTGATATTAAATTTCATTTAATGAAGTTTTGTTTTTTTATTAAAAAATCCAAAATAGTTATTTGAAAGTGAAATTATTAACAAGTTAGCATAAGTATAAATTATAAAATGAAACATTAATAATAAAATACTTTTCAGGCTAATTTGCCATTAATGGAAAGTTGTCTAAACGAAGCTACTATAGCTGAAAATAACAATGTTTCTATATTAGAAGTTGTGAAACTTTTTCTTTTATCAGAAAAGCCAACAATGGGTCTTGAACTTGGTTTAAGTTTTATTAGAGGTAAAATAAAAAATTGCTATTTTAATAAGTAAGTTTTATTCGACTTATAAATATTTTTGAATTAGCTGTTTACTGTTATTTTTAATTTATTCATCTTAATGTATTACACAGTATTGTTGAATTAAATTTTAATGATAAATTAACCATAATAATCTGAGAATTGGATTACTGAAATTTAGGAAATAACTAAATACTTCAAATTTTGCCTTTTTCATTCTTTTCTTGAGGGCACAAAGAAGGCTTTTTTCTATGCCCATTGGAGTTTGGACAGACCACATCGGGTCCAAATGTCAGATGGTGATGGAGAGGACCCATATTTAGGCAAGATCACCCATGAAAAATTCTTGGAGTTGCTTGCTTCAATTTAATCCCAGGTCTCCAGAGCAATAAGCTGACCTTAACTGCCTTGGCATCTGATCATCACTATTTTCTAATTTACAAGTCAAATCTTTTGTTTGTCATATGATTTAATAGAATCATTAATGTAGAAAAGCATAAAATTTGTAAACAGGTATTTGAAAATTAATAATTATCATTAATTGAATTGGAAACTATAATCAGAAAATTAAAATCATCTAAGGCTCCTGGTCTTGATAACATAAGGAACAAAATGATAAAATACTTTTCTTTTCTACAGATACTATTAGATATATTGTATGTTTAATTCCTTTTGGTCTAATCGCTCTTTTCCTTTATCTTGGAAAGAAATTGCTTTAAGGATGATTTATAAGAAGGGAAGTAGGCAGATGTCAACTAATTATAGACCAATTGCTTTTGTGAGATCAAGCACTTGATTTTGCTATATTTTACAAAAATGTTAAGCCTAATTCTCCATTGCAATTGTTTAAAAACATTGCAATGAAAAAAGGATTGAATGGCGTCTTTCTCATCAACAACTGCTTTCTTAGCAGTTGTTGATGAGAAAAACGACATTTACAGTTAAAGGGATGAGAACATAAACAGGATGAATTTAGCATTGCACGAACCAAAGATTACATTCTACGTTCCGTTTCGACACCTTTTCTTTGTCTCTCTGGATCACCTCTGACCCAACACCTGCAAATCATCTTTTGTCTTTGACAGCATTTGATCACATGATCATTTTCCCAGACCCAAACCAAATATAAGGTGAACTCACTCCCATTTCAGCATGATTCAGCACGAGTCTGCAGAACAAAAAGGAACCTCTTTTTGTTCTGCAGACTCTTCTCAATGTTCCCCAAAATCGGCTCACTCTCCGAAACCCACTCAAATCCCTAAATCACCCAAGGGAAAGAGATAGGATGTTTCACAACTTTTTGTAAACTCTCTCTCGGATTCAGCAAACTGTTATTGGTAATGAGGGCAGTTCAAATACTCTTTTGATCCAGTTTATGCCAGTTATTATCTGTATATGCATCTGAAATCGTATAACCTTTTGTCAGTTTTTAATCTATTAAAATTTAAATTTTTCTTGTTAATGGTGTCTATTACTTGGTATTGCCTACTCTTTACTGATGTCCTCTCTCACCCTCCCACTCGACCTAACAAGCTGATCCTGAAATGCGGGAAACACGCCAAGAAGAAACATGCCATCCAATGACTCTGTGGGTAGATCTCGCCAATCTGTTGCTGATTAAGCAGTATATAGGGATTCATTCACCCTATAAGCTCCTGGTTCCTCACAAGTTGGTTTGCAGGATGGGGTTTGATCAATAAGGCAAAAGAGGCTATATTCAAGTAAACGGTAGATTCAAGTTGGGTTAAATTTTAAGTAGAAATAATGGAGGACGATCCCCATCCTCGTGCAACTTTGGCAGGCAACCCAATTAATTACCTTGGGAGGTCTCGGCAGTATGATACCTTTATTGCCAGTATTCTTGGGATGCAGCAGGCCCAAGGATTATGGACTTCTTCAAATCCCTAGCGGATGTCAGAAAGGTAGCAGCATGGTCCGAGGCTCAAATGCTAGCAGTAGCAAAATTAATTAAAACCAGAATAGCTCATGAATTCGTTCAAAAGGATACACAAATTAAGGAGATTGAAGATTATGATGTATTTAAGAGAATACTGATTGGATGTTTTGAATGGGAACCATTTTCATTTCGTTTAAATAAATTTTACGTGTGCGTATAATGGAAGGATGAGGATGTACAGACATATGCCGTCCAACTCCAAACCTTAGCAATGAAGATCAAGATTAAGCCAGAAGCAAGTGCGGGCAGTCATACAGGGCGGAGAATTAGACGAGAGACTAAAGGTTCAATTTTTGAACAGGATAAATCTAAAGATTCGTCAAAGGGTAATGTCGCAAGAGCCAGCAACTTTCGATGATGCTCTGAAGGCGGCAATAAGCAAGGAGACAATCGAAGATCTCACTACCCCTCTTGGATCATGCAAACAGTTAAGGAGGGGGAGATGTTGACAGATTCCTCCTCAAAGGAAAACTGGGAGAAGCTAATGTCAGTGATTGATGACCTACAAGTTAAGATGGATGGCTTGTCAAGAAGACTGTTTCCGAATAACACGAGAGGCCAAATTTTTGGACATAGTAGGCAAGATGTAATATACAAATCTAAACTGCAGGCGAAGCAAATATCACCTGGCTGTTCCTAACCATCGAACAGACTAGCCAGTCAGTTTGGTCAACCAGAACCAGAACTCCTCCCCCCGGAGAGATACTAATAAGCATGATTGCCCAACACACTCAAGAAATAACTCCACCATGAAAACAGGAAGTGGGAAATGACCAAAATAGGGTCCGATTCTGACCCTGACCCATGGAAGAAAATCGGAACAAATGCAGAGGTAATGTTATAAGTGTCAAAGGATGACGACCCTAATATACTTTTCGCTGAAACTATGTTCCCGTATCCAACGATTAAGAGGAGACAAGGCCTGTTCATGTGTCAGATTCGACAAACATACAAGACTTCTCAGGTACAGAAGCAAAGACCTTTACCTGTAAATACTGCCAAATATACAACCTCGCACAGTGAAGATACATTTGCTTGTTATATAGGAGGAAGTCCAGCAACAATACAAATAGATACTGGAGCCAAGGTATCCCTTTTATCAAGAACCTTCGCTGATACAATGAAAGAGAAAGTATCTATTGATTATGACAAGGAGACAGATCTAAGAAGTGCAACTGGTCACCTTATTCAGACATATGGTATCATGAGTTCTACTTTCCAGATTGGAGGCTTATGTTTTCCATTTGCATGTTGTCTCGTGGATATAGACGTCACCTATCCATGTGATGGTATAATTGGCAGGGATATGATAACAGAAAAGAGGTTTCTTATTAATTTGCAAGGAGGAGAAATGACAATACCCCCACACATTATAGTACCTTTACAAGTAGAAATGGAGGAAGTGATGTAGTTTTATTAGAAATATGTAGACTCCGACTGTTAATCAAAAGTATAGTGACCATTTCTATTATCCCTATCTTATGATTTCGTTTGACCCCTGAAATCTTTGCAATTTCCCTAGCACTTGTCTGTTAAATCCAAAGTCCATTAAATCAGTCTGTAAAATCAAGTGTCTACTATATTTGATTGTAAGTGATTATGACCAAGTTTATATCTGCAATGAGGACTTATACCAACTAGTAATCAATTATGCAATTTTACATTTTTTTATTTTTCACTGTCTGTCTATAAATTAAGAATTTTTTTTTCATTGTGTATTAATTTATTTATTTATTCAAAACTTTTTCTTATTTAAAAACATGTAACAAAAAAATTGTGGAGTTTTGGGGATCTGGAATGGATTAATCTAATCTACATTATTCCTTATAGGAAAAGTTTGTTCAGTATCTGAACAGATTGTCACTCNTATGCAGGAATTTTCAAATAAATTATTATATATATATATATATATTTTAATTATAAAAACTTATTGTACAGTATGAATTTGTAATTTATTAACTTTCTTTTTACGTAGAAAAGCTTTCAGTAGCACATTGGAAATTAAATGAAGTATGGGATATGTTACAATTACTTGCAGCAACTAGAATGCATGTTCTTCATGATTCTATTAATGAAATGTAAGTTAGAGTAAATGTAATGACAGAAATTTTGAGTTTAAAATAATTTTTGCAGTAATAAATACTATAGATGAATGATTACTTATTTACCATTTATTTAAATAGAATATTAAGTTTAGTTACACTAATAAGTTATTCACAACAAAAAACTTTTCCAGAGATCACATCTTTATTATCATAGCACTTTCTCTTCCTACAAAGCATCTTCAGGGACATTTTTAACAAAACATGTAATTTTTTTTTATTTTGACTTTTAAATTAATCACACCTTTAATATTGTCTGAAAATAACAAGATATCTTCTAGATATGTGATTAATTAAAATATTTAATATAGCATAATTATTTCATTATATTATATTTAATAAACAGATATGTGAAGTGTTAACTTTTACTCAAAAGATGAGATGTGTTAAGGGAATATATTGATATTTTCTGATAGCTATTCTTAAAGGTGTAATTTTTTACAAGTGTGTGAATATTTTTATTTGACTGTTAATATTCTTGAAAATAGGCTGTAAAAACACATAAGGGCTAAGATAATAGATATGGGCATCAGAAAAGCGGTTTTTGGGGTGAACAAGTTGAGGTTGCCGAACCGTAAGTATCGACAGGATGTCCGAGTGATGTTGAACATGAGTGGAAGCATTGGACACAGAGACAAGTTTCTCCAATTACAAACAGTTACCCAGTTTATAGTAAAAGTATCTTACAACAATAATACACTTTTAATGGTTGGCGGAGGCCAAATCTTCTAGGTCCCTTTTTCTGGAGGACGAAAGTCCAAAGAGGAAAGTTCTCTAATGTTTTCCCAGAAGTTGACACCCTGGGGCATAGCTAGGACGTTTGAAGAGGATACTTAGTCTGCAATGAAAATAATTCTTTAAAGGCAGGAGTAGCACATTCAAAAGCACGAGAGAGCAGCTCTCCATATCCGCAAAAATCAAATTTTTATAACTTTTTGTTTTGAGTCCCAGATTGAACATTCCAATAGGTCGATTCTGACTCACCTCCGCTTTCCAATTAGTCCCCACTCTCATTTGAATTGTCAGTCGATGTTGACTCATCCCACGATCTGGGTTCTAGTCTTGTGACATTTCATATCTCCATCGAAGATGTTTGATTTTAGGACTTACATTATTCTTTTGTCTTAATTTGAGAAGTACATTTTTCTAAGAATTCTAAGGAGGAGTCATATCTAAGAATTTTCTTCAAACGTGTCCTTTTATGGACATAAAATTTTCTATTTTCCTCTTTCCTTTTGTTTGTCATTTTTCACAAAATACAATTATTATTATTTTTCCTTTTATACAAGAAAACAAAATTTAATTTTTCTGATGTGTGATCCTGGCCACTTTTGGAGCCTCTCATAAGTTTATATGGGAATCGTTTGTTAAACTAATAAAAGCTGCTTAAACTTTTAAAAAAGACTTCTAAAACAATATTTTAAAGCAAAGTTTACAATACAAATATCATCATTATTATTATAAATAATTATTTTAATGACTAGTTGATAAGAAGAAAATAATAACTGAAGACAGTTCTTGTTCTTTTATTATTCAATATTCATCAAACAAAACATGATAAAATAAACAGAAAACTTACACATACAAATTCAGTTTTTCATATCTCTATCTATGTCATCATTCAATTTTATAACTTCATAATAAATTACCAAACGATCGCCTAAATATCGGGCTATAATTAAATGATTAGAATAAAGTAATTTGACATTAGAGGAAGGCGTTAGGCACCATCTCTTGAAGTAAATTAATAATTAAAATTAAATAATTATTAGAGAAATTTTAGAACCTTCCAGAAGGTTCTAAAATTTATTTATCTCTAGTAACAATTGTTTTAATAAAAGTGTGGTTAATGATCCATCATTAAAAGAAAATTGATAGAATAGCATTATCCTGATTCTGCATGGCCCAAGAAAGCAAAAATGACACAATTTCAAAAGATTAGGGCCACAAGTTCTTGGGATTCTGAAGGAATCCTTCTGATTGATTTCAAAGAACACAATACCACTGTCACTGGAGAATATTGTGCTTCTTATGTGAATTAATTGAGGAATATCATTAAAGAAATTTGACATGGAAAGCTGTCTTACTGTTTGTTGTTACATGATAATACCTGATGACCACATCAATTCTTGCAAAGGCTGTTATTCAAAAATTTGCAGTCAAGAAATTAAATCACTCACCTTACATTACAGCACTGAACTGAAGCAATCATTATTTGCTTTCAAAATTGCAATCAAATTTGCAGAGAAAAAATTCAAGAAGAAAGAATGACACAGTTTAAAGAGAAAGATTTGGTCTATTTTTATATAGGTTTAGAACTGTCAATAAAGTGCTGTAAAGAATGTATTGACATATAAAGAATCAAAAAGTAAATTGTTTTTTAGTTTAATTTTTTTATCCAGTATATTAGGGTCAGGCTGGAAACTTTTTGGACCTCAATACATATGTACAGTACTGTAATACTTTTTAGTTTCAATAATCAGTACATAAAAAGATAGATACTGTAAAGACTGACTATAGTTTAACTCTTTTTATATACAAATGAAAAACAAATCAGTGCTTATACAATAAAACTTTATATCTGAAAAATGTTTATTTATTAAAAATCCTCATTCTTCAAGAAACCATAGAAAATAACAATAAATTATTGATTTTGTATGTGCATATTTTAAAAAATTTTTATATCTCATAAAATATCTAGTGTGTATAAGAAATAAAATTCTTTCTGAAAGTACATGCTCATTTAGAGTAGAATATCACAACAAATGTATTTGATGTATTTTAATGCCTACCTATTTTTTTTACTCTAAAAATTAGTTAAATGAAAATCATATGGCAATAAGTAGAATTATCATCATTGTATTAAATATGATAACATAAATTGAATTTTATTTTAAATCTTAAGTAATAAAAGTTTCTATAAATTTTAGAAATTTTGTACATTAATTACAGAATTTATTTAATTGTAAATCATTGGAAATAATAGTTTTTCTTCTATTTCTAGACATTGCTCTGAATTACTATTATATTCATCATACATTGGTGGCATTATGGCAATGTGTCATGGATATTATCCAATTGTTGGATCTCTTATATCAGATGCAATGTAAGTACATGCAATTCTTATTTACTGTATAACTTGAAAAACTTTTCAGCAAATACATAACACTATGCATCTTTAAATAAATAGCAAAATAATTTTTTCAGAGAATTATTGGACAAAGTTCAGTTATCCAATTTACCACTCGATAAAGAGCTTTTAGTTTCAGAATTGGCAGTATGGAAGTTACACAGATCTGAATTCAAAAAGTATGAATTTTAAAACTATCTAGATTATTATATGTAAAAATAATTTATAGTTATAATTTTTCAAACCAATTAAGCTAAATTACAAATTAACAATAACTTCATAATACGAATAATAATAATTTGAATATCGCAATGTCTTTCTATGACAGTTTGAATTTTTTATAAATGCTTGGAAATTTAGGATCTTTACAGGATAGCACCCAAAAAAGTAGCCCCTTCATAGCTTAGCAGAAACAGAGAATAATACAGTAAAAAACACAGAAGTTAACTGCTGGTATCACCATCATAGATGGTGTTGAAAGTGACACCTGCCACATTTATACATAGCTGCATACATCAAATCATGTTTACGAACACCTGGCATAACAATGGCATCAATTGTATGGCTGATGATGTCTCTCAGTTCCTGTATTGCATATGTTATCTTGCACAATACAGGATGCCGATATTCACTCGATGCAGTTTGCTCACTCCATGCAATGCACTAGCACCAGAGATTCAAATTAGACCAAGGCTACTTTTTTCTGTGTTGTCTTGTAGCATCTTTGAAGATAAACTTTAGACTAATTTTTTAATAAAGACTTTGAACTGTGTTTCTGTTTCAAGAAATTGTTAATAATATTCTATATGTTCAAAAATTATAGAAAAAGTAGTTATTAATTTGGTTACTTCTTATTGTCATTATATTATTCTGCTAAAAAATTTTTGGCAGACTTAATTAATATCAAAACTAAGTTAATGAACTAGCTGAAAATTGTAAATAATAATAATATTATTATTAATTTATAACTGATTAAACATGAAAAAGAAATATTCAAGAATTTAATTTCTTAATACAGTGGTACTTCGATACTCAAGCTGATCCCAACTTGAACAATTCAGTATTCAAATGCATATTCAGGGGAGGAATCACTTTCAGTAGTCAACTATTTGCTTGGCACTCATCTAAAAAAACATAAAATAAAAGTATTTCTTATTAATTGAAAACATTTTAGCAGGTTAACTTTAGTTACTCATTTTTGTCATAGATATTTTTTATGGATGACAAAATTAATTTAAAAATAAACTGAAGCCCTAGAGTTGGTTTATCTTCATCAGACAAACTTAGTTTGTTTTTTCACATGGTGATTGGGTTTTGCATGCATTATGTTTTGCAACTATTCCAAGTTGATGAAATGTTTTGTTTCAATAATACATGTTTGTGACACATTAAGATCACAAGTTATTTGTCAATTTTTAACAATTTTTCTTAGTTGACAGCTTTTGAGTGCCCCATACATTGTATATCCTTTATTTCAAAATTTCCTGAAAAGAATTTTTAAAACTACATTTGACATGTTTGAAGTTTAGATGCATCTTCCCCATACACATTACAAACTTTTTTTACTGTTTGTAATGTGTTATGCTTTTGAGTTTCAGAAAGAATATAATATACCTGACATGCATTTCTGGAGACTTTGAGTAAATCAAGTCAATATGTGAAGTAAAAATTTTTTTAACTTTTTACTTTCAGTCCTTTAGCTGATGTTGCTAAAGGACTGAAAGCAGTTATGAAACAAACATCACAAACAATTGAAGAGGTTGAGAAATTGTTGTTGATTTGGATCAATGAAAAACAGTTAGTATCAGAAACACTATCACCAACTATTATTTGAACAAAGGTAAAAAAACGACTGCATTCTGATCTCTTGAAAAAAGGCAATATAGACAGTGAAGTGTTTAAAGCCAGTCATGGATTGTTTGAGAAATTTAAGTGGAGAAATGGTATAGTGTGTTGAGGCATGGGGAGGCTGACAGTTCTGACAAAGATGCTGCTAAGAAATATGTCAGTGAGTTTAGGGAAATAAGAAATGCATCAAGATCTGGTTTATCTTTCCACATATGTAGTATATAATAAAATCTAGTTGGAATAGTCCAGAAGCACTATATTCTCAAGTTTTCTTATAACCATCTCATATAAAATCCCAGATAGAGGACTGCCAATGGGTACATTCCTAGTCTGCATGTATTTTGGACTCTGCCAAACACCTTAAATCTATTCTAGAATTGGCACATCTCATATGACATACATTTTTCAGATTTGATGATACCTGTAGGATACCTATTGTGGAAGATATTGTCTCTCTCAGCAAGTCCATGGATTTGGAGACAGTTACGATGATGTAGAGGAGGACAAAACAGCTCATCAAGGAAGAACTGCAGGACCTTCAAAAGGAGCAGCAACAAATGCTAGATGAAATATCTTAGAGAAGAGAAGGAGGATGTCTTTACTGTTCTTATAAAACAAATTGTGCAAAATGGAGGGAACTGCAAATTTTTCTTTAAAAAAAAATCACCCAGACAAAACTGTGTTATAACTAACTGAATGACAATGCTATGTCTCACTTCAGAAACATACTGGGCCTCTGTCTCACTAAAAACCTATCTAATGAAATTTGCTTTTGCATGTGTTTTAGTAAGTCTCAGGAAGAAATCACAAGAAGATTGAACCTTTCTAATAAGCCATCAACTTTCTAAATTTAAAGTGCAGATTTATTCTTGCTTTACTTGTATTTCATCTATTTATTATGTTCAGGCTTTTTTTATGATTTTTATAGTTTTTTTAAGGTTTTCTATATGTGTTGAATGCTACACTTATAAACTTCTTGTTAAAATACTTTTATTGTGTATTTTTGGGGATCTGGAATGGATTAATCTAATCTACATTATTCCTTATAGGAAAAGTTTGTTCAGTATCTGAACAGATTGGCACTCAAACAGCCTTCTGGATGAATTAAGTTTGAGTACTGAGGTACCACTATACTTTAAAAAATAATTAATGAAGTGTATTACTTTATGTTTTACAGATTTGAATTTAAAACAAATTTTCTTAAATTTTTATTTAGTTATTGTCCTGAAAAACCAGATGTATATAATAATCTAATGTGCAGGATAAACGAAAAAAAAATTTTGGATGTTGGCGTAACTAAGGTAACAGGCTCTCATCTACCTCGTCATTCAGACCAGCACAAGTGTTATCTCACAAAACAGCCACTTCAGGTATGTTATATTTGATGTTAGAGTTCTAATCTATTCATTAGAAAAATTGGAAATATCAGGAAATTTTGACTTTGGCACTGATAATGCAACAGCTGATTTAAAGCAGAAGTTGCTAAATTGCTTTTTAACAAAGTTATTTTTAGTGCCTTTACCCAGAATCATACAAATTTGAATCAGATTTTACATCATGCTTCAACTGCATCAAGCATGTATTTTATATGAAAATGATTTCATATCATAAAAGTAGTTCAAATATTAATAATCTCTGATACTTGAACTGAATTTGTATATAAATGAGCAAAAATTATTGTAACATCTTCAAAATTACAGGCTTCAATTTTTAATCATATTTTAAATTAAATAAATTGAGAAGATATACTGTATTTACTCGAATATAAGATGAGCTCACATATAGGACAAGGTGTGATTTTAAAGATAAATTAAATTTATTAATACAATTCTAATTTTTCATTTTATTTCGTTTAATAATAAATAAAATATCAAATGAACGTAAATGCACACATTGTCCTGCAAAAATTATTGGCATTTTAAACTTCAAGGAAAAATCTTGTAAAATTGACAACATAATTTGTTCATGTAAAGCTGGACAATCAGGAATCTTTTTTTGCCAATTCTTAACAGTCAAATTCACTCTTTATTGATTACATTTATGAGTTTCTTTGCATTTCCAAATAATCATGTTTTTATGTGGAAATGAATTAAAACTTGTGTAATTGTGTAATCTTGTGTAATTTTGGAATTCAATTCAAAAGCTTTGCTTTTCTTATTGCTATTCATCTTTATTCCTGACAATACACTAGAACGATTCAAATGACCCAAAGAAAATACTTTGTTTTTAAGCACCAGAAAATGAGAATCCGGTAAAATATACAAATACATAGTTTACTAAAATTATACAAAAACGAAAAAAATCTTCGCTTGCATGTATAGGATGACCTAGGTTTTAAAGCAGTGAAAACTGGATGAAAACCATATGTTATATGCGAGTAAATACAGTATTTTTAATCTCAAATTAGTAGTGTCTTGCCCCTGTACATCATACTTTTTCTGATAACAATCAAGTCATGCCAGTCATCTATGAAATTCAATATTTGAAAAATTTTTGAATTCAAATCATGTGACTTCCAGTCTAGACCAGAAGTTCTTATATATTTAATCAGGGCCTCCTGCCCCTAAGCTTTCCATATCTGTTTTTGACTTTTATCTATCTAACACCACTCTCGAGATTAAGGAAGAACAGACAAATGTATAATTGGGATATATGAATTTCCACTGTCATCCATCAGTTTAAGACATCAGTCACCAACTGATGTGAACTATCCTATCAGTGGACCATAGACCAAGAAAATTTTAGTGGTCCATAGAGAAATTTGGACATTCATAATACTTTGCATAATCTTGAGTTTATCAAAGAAATGCAAAATTTTGGTTGCTTTTTCTCACTTTTTTGGTTTTAGATGATTCACATAAGGATGTTGTCAATAAATCAATATATAATGTGAGTGCAATTGTCATGCTTCATGGAAAAGAGCCAAGAATCCATAAACTTATAACAAGAAGTTTGTTGCTGTTTGTTTGATATATTTGTCAACTTGGACATAAATTATTAATAGGACTGTTAAACTGGTGTTAAGTATTAATGCAAAATTGAATAAAAGTTTTTTAAAGAAAACAGAATTTCTTTATTGAGCCTCCTGTTTTCTTTAAAAAACTTTTACTCAATTTTGCATTAATACTTAACACCAGTTTAACAATCTTATTAATAATTTATGTCCAAGTTGACAAATATAACAAGAATTAAAATAAGGACAATAAAGCAATAATAATTAACAACAAACTTCACTTGTTTAATTATATTAAAGTAAAATAAAGTATCTATAGAATAATGATCACAAACATTCCATTTTTCTTTATCATTTAAAAAATTCATGACAGTGGTCCATGAGGTCAGAAAGATGGGTGACCACTGATTCACAAGTAAACATTGATTTCAGACATCTTTCTAAAGTTATCAATTTTTAGTTTGGTGTTTAAACAATAAAGTTTGAACTTGCAGTTCTAATTAATATTGAAAAGAACAACATCTAAAAAAAATCTGGAATTCTGAAGATTTTTCTGTTTTCAGATTGTGATTTAATCTTGCTAAGTTTTAAACAGGGTAGCTCTTCAATCTTGTACATCAAAATAATTTTGATTTTCAAATACTTTTAGTAAAAATTAGTATTTCATGCATCCATGTAATAAAGCTTTTGCCTTTTTAATTATAAATAGCAAATTTTGAAATATCCTGTGTCTGTTTTGGGAAATAATAGAAACATTTTAGAAAAAACACTTTTCGGACATGAATATATACATTAATGTCTCAAATATACTTTTGTTATTATATTTGTTAACAGTATAAATAACATATACACACATATATAGATCTAATTCAATGATTAATTTCTACATAGTCACTATCAATATCTGTACAGAGCCTAAACTAATCAGATGTGTTAAGCTATTCAAAAGATAACAATTGTAGGGTTTATTAAGTCTGAGTTACTGCAGTAACACAATTGTGTTACTGCAGCTACTCAGACTTAATGAATCCCAAACCAGAAAATCCAAGGGTGTTAAATCAGGTGATTATGCTGTCCAAGGCAAATCCAACAACTGGGAAATAATGTCATATAATGGCATGGAATATCATCCTGAATAAGTTGAGGTTTGAGCATATGAAAAAACACTGTTCTTGTAATTGTAGCCTCTGAAAAATAAAGATCCATAAACCTTTGATTTAGGTAAAAATCATTATGCTAGTATACGAAATTTTTTAAAACTATGTATAATTCAACAAAATCGATATCCTTAGTCACTTTTTGAAACACCATGTATAGACACAAACAATTGTTTTCTAACACAGTAGATTTTTATTATTAGCGAGGTTGAGGCCAAAGTTTTAAACATGAAAACGTGTACGTCAGATGTTCAGCGCCGCCATCCTGTAAACCTAGAAGTTTAACAATGGTGTTTGGATAGTCAGTAGAATCATGCCTGACATTTCAAACACCATTGTCAAACTTCTAGTCTTACAGGAAAGCGGTGCTGAACGTCCGATGTACACATTTTCACGTTTAAAACTTCAGCCTCAATCTCGCTATTATATCACATGTCAGGAGACAAACCAAATGAGTGGTTATATCATACCATAAGATATATCAATAGATAAAAATAAATCTATTCACCTGGTTTTATTATTGACCTTGAAATTATCATTCCATGCCAATTTGAAAGTTTTATTTCGTAGAGACAAAAAATATAATATTTCTTTCCCAATAGAAATTCAATGGTAACAGACTTTTTTAAATTATTGGCTGAAATGCTTTTATATTGGAAGACAAAAATAGTGTGATATATTCAAATCAGTGATGTAACCACGGACTACTGCATTTTAAATAGTCAATAACAATCTCTTTCTGTGCTAATTCTATGCAATAGTTTTCTATTAATAATCTTTCTTGATTCCATTTTATTCAAATGGAAATTTTTGCCTTCTGCAGTTACTACGAGAATTTATTTGATATATTTATTCTCTTCTCTTTGTGCCATATATTCTTACATTGTTTTCCCTCTATAACTTTCATGATGATATAAAATTTTTTCTGTAAGTCGGAAAAATAATATAGTACTTTACAACTTTATACTACTCGGTTCTTTAACCTAACGGTCCAGGGTTCGAGTCCCTGTTCGGGCGCCAGATGTAAAGTACTATATTATTTTTCCGACTTTTCCAACGATTATCAATACTACTGTGTGCCGGAAATAGCCGTTCCCTAACGGGTACTTTACGCGGATTCGCGTTAGTGTGCCAGGCCTGGACTTTAAGCGTGCACCGAATTAAATAATGACAAAGTTTGTCAATAACAAAATCAAATATTTAATTAAACTTCTAGTAATAAACTATATACAGTATTTAGTAAAAATCAAACAATAATTTATTCAATGAAATTCAACAAGAATCAATCCGACAAACTCAAATCAATCTATTTCTAACTTAATTCTATTCCCCTTTGGAATTCGACAAAATCAAAGAATTAACTTATAAACAATAATTCTTATAAATTAAAGATCCTAATCGTCACCTCAATATACTAGGAACCTATTTCCTCAAACTCTCAAGACTTTCTATAATCGTCGATCCACAAATCGAATAACTTCAAAATCCTATCGGACACCTCTCTCGTTCACTGCTACGAAGCTCACCAAAGCTCGTTGCTATCAGGAATTCACCTCGTTCGTTTTCACTTGAGTTAGAGGCTTTATAGTGTGAGGTGACGTCACAATTCTGAATGAGCTCACTCTCCTCATTTACATACTTATCTGTAACATTAAATTTTTCTTGTTTATCTGGCAGATTATTTTCCGACAATACTTCGCTAACCTTTTACATTATTCTTTTTAACAATTATCGGGATGCTTTATTCTTTTAAGGTTTAGCGATTCCTAACTGGGTTGTGGGGTCTTCCCCCCCCTTTTTCTCGGTGCGGACTTACTTTTTTCCGCTCGGGAAGCGCAAGTGTGCGCGAGTTTTTCTACGGCGCTTTTCTTTCGTCGGTGAGTTGGTTTCTCTTCTATTTTTAAGTTACTAAGGTGAATGGTGAGGAAACCTTCGTCCTAACAAAACATAAGCCCCAAAAAAAATAGAATAATAAGCAAAATAAAAGTAAATAAAAATAACATTCGGACTTGGTTCCTTACAGGGAGGCCAGTTCCCCATAAAAGTCCTCCCGGAAGGCATTATTTCCCGCGCGCACGTATAGGCTGTTCGTTCAGACGACGTTCTCGTAATCGCTACGATTGTTGTGTACGAAAGGAAAAGAAGTGTACGATAAGTGTACGAAAGGAAAGATGTATCCAAATAACATACCAGTTTCGGCAATAATTAAAAACAGAAACACGAAGTCACTAAAAAAGAAGTCGAGAGGATTATAGAAAAGCGAAAGAATTAGAGGAAGCAAGGAAAGCTGGTACTACTCCAGCTGCTGTCGATGAAGAAGGAAGAGGATGTCTCTTCCTTCATCGACAGCAGCTGGAGTAGTACCAGCTTTCCTTGCTTCCTCTAATTCTTTCGCTTTTCTATAATCCTCATATTCCACAATATATAGCAACTGATCCTTGGTACTTTGGTTCTTCCTGTCCCACTCTGAAACATCAGCGACTTCAGCCAGAAAGACAACAAAGTTATACCAAGATCAAAGAACATTTTGTTAGAGGACTAAAGGCTAAAAGGCAATTAAAAGAGGAAAAATTAAAACAAGATCTTTTATCTGGTGGAGTTAGCACTATAAAAAAAACATATTTGAGAAACTTAGATCCAAATTCTGCATACTATGATCCAAGAACAAGAGCCATGAGAGAATCCATATCAAGGAAGAAAAAAAAAATCCAGAAGAGTTACAGTATGCTGGAGATAATTTTGTTAGATTTACCGGAGATACGGAAAAACATTCTCGAATGCAGGTGTTTGCTTGGCAAGCATATGAAAAAGGCGTGGACGTCCACCTCCAGTCTGAACCTACAAGAGCTGAACTTCTGTATAAGGAGTTCGAAGTTAAAAAACAGGAATCTAAATGTAGAATAAAAGAAAATATTCTTGACAAATATGGTGGAGGTGAACATTTGCAAGTCCCTCCAAAGGAACTCATCTTTGGGCAATCGGAGGATTATGTAGAATATTCTCGGCATGGTGTCATTTTGAAAGGAACTGAGAAACCGGTAGTTCGATCTAAATATGAAGAAGATGTTTTTATCAATAATCATACATCTGTCTGGGGTTCGTATTGGTGTGACGGTCTTTGGGGATATAAATGTTGTCATTTGTTCATCAAGAATTCTTACTGCACTGGAAATAGTGGAAAAGAAGCTGCTGAACAGGCCTTGCGTGTTGCCACTGGACGATGACTTAAGTTGTTAAATCGCATTCTGTATGTGACTAGTTTGCAGATTTTTAAGAGAAATACGGCACGAGTTCGTTCACAGGTACAAGGAAGAAGAAAGGAAAAAAAAGACTTATGCTATTGTTAATGTGTAAAATACCGAGTACGTTTCTGCTCGTAGTAACGTATTTAAAACACGTTTGATATGTTAATCTTTTGGGAAATTGTGGAAATTGTTTGGTGGATAGACAGCAGATGTTCTTGCTATGTATTTATCCAAGGTTAGTTTACCATGGATGAATTTTAAACGTGAGAATCTTTTGCTGCACGGTATTCACTATTCGAATGAAAGGTATCGATAATCGTTGGAAAAGTCGGAAAAATAATATAGTACTTTACAACTGGCGCCCGAACAAGGACTCATTCTTCTCCTCCAGCTCCTGTGTCTCGCGCTGCTTCTGTTTCAGCCGCCCACACTCGGCCTCAAGAGATGCAGTTTCTGCCCATTTTCTGAAGTAAATCAACCATAACAAGAAGATACTGATTACCTTTGTTGGACCTAGGATAGGGTCCCATAATATCTACGCCTACCTTTTCCCCTGGTTCCGTTACCTCGGGGACTTGCATTAGTCCGACCGTTTTATTCAATGAAATTCAACAAGAATCAAACCGACAAACTCAAATCAATCTATTTCTAACTTAATTCTATTCCCCTTTGGAATTCGACAAAATCAAAGAATTAACTTATAAACAATAATTCCTATAATTTAAAGATCCTAATCGTCACCTCAATATACTACGAACCTATTTCCTCAAACTCTCAAGCCTTTCTATAATCGTCGATCCACAAATCGAATAACTTCAAAATCGCCTTGGAACTATTTGATCCAATCGGACACCTCTCTCGATCACTGCTACGAAGCTCACCAAAGCTCGTTGCTATCAGGAATTCACCTCGTTCGTTTTCACTTGAGTTAGAGGCTTTATAGTGTGAGGTGACGTCACAATTCTGAATGAG